AAAAAAAATGTAGATTTCTTGCTTAAAATATGAGGGAAAAATCTCATTTCCCAGTTTGTTTTCCAAAAATCATCTATCTCTTTTTTCAAAATTTTCCTACAAGATATGCATGCCATCACTGAGTATAAGGTACTGATTGATGAGCACACTGAATAAAAAGCGTCTTGCTTTCTTTAGTTACATTAAGATTATTCACATTGATAAAGCACAATACTCATTACCCATTTTGTTTAGTTTTTATTTGCAGAAGTCAGAGTCATTTAATTTAGACCATTACAATTAATACTGAAAAAGTAAAAAAGCCTTTTACGTTTTTGTTTCCTAGTTCTCACAAGGTAAATAATTTTTCAATCTGATAAAATTATACTCAATTCAAAAGTATACATTTATATTAAAATAAGTAGGGTTTGTGTTTCTTTAAGGTAAAATGTTCATGATTATCATCAAGATATTTTTGCTTTACAGAATGTTGTCTAAACTCTGGTGTTTTTTTTCTTAATGCAAATAGGCTATTTTCCTTCATGAGCTATGTAGATATTTTTGCTAACCCATCTGGTTTAGAAGCCACAGCTTGAATTTTAATGAGGCAATATTATTTACTGTACTTGTTCATGCAAATTTTTCAATGTTTTTCACTGTGTTGGTAATCCTCTCTGTGAATGGGTCAAATTACCTTTGCCTTTCTTGGGAACTTGGAAATAAGTTTTGGTGCTGGATCAGACAGTGAAGTTCAGGGTTGTGAGAGCTTAATATTTACAAATCCAAAGTGATGCACCCTAGATTTTAAACCAGGAGTCAGATTTGTTTGCTCACTGTGGTACTTCCTGTAGATAGTCAGATGAGCTTCCGCTGAAGTTTTGTTATTTTTTTTTTTCAGGCTCTTGGGACATTGTTACATATAAAGAAGCAGAAATACCTTAACTAGCACATTTCTGAGTTTTAAAGAGTTAATTCAAACAAATAATGACAGCAAAACTATTGCATTGAACATTTATAATGTTATTGTGAAATGTGTTACATTAGTTGAACTCACCTCTTTGTAAGTCTATTTTGATGATTTTGGGGTTATAGTAGGTCATATTGAGATAAAATCATAGCCTGAATATTTAAGATTTATACTTTTTCTAAAATGTAAGAGTTGGGAAAATATTTTCTAACCTTTACATTGCATGTCTTGATATTCTATCTTTTAGAAAAGGATACTGTAGTGTTTTAATGTTGATGCTGTTTCCATTCAGTTAATTTTTTGTTTGAGAGGCAAAAAGGTTTGGCTTTGACTGGAGATTATTAAGAAATGAAAATTTCAGATGGTCGCCCACAAGTTCTGTTTTTCTTAGGTACTTATTTTCTGTAAATGAATAATCACATGAAGTTTAAGTCATTAAAATTTCAGTTAATTCACAGAATGATATAGATTTTCAGAGGTCTTAATTAAAGTTCATGGAACTTTAGAAAATTGAGAAATGCCCTCTCTTGACACTTTGTCTACTGAGTTATTTGGTTTTCTGATTTAAATTTGTGTTTAATTAGTTATTAGTGTGCAATAGCCTACAGAGAATTGAAGTGAATGCCCTCTGATTGTGAGACAATTTGGCACTTTTCAGGGAGAGTGAATTTAGGGTTTATTGACTAACAGGCTCTAGCCTCTTCTAAAGCATCTCACCTCCCATGATAACTCTCTAGAAATCATCAGTCCCTGAAAACACTGAGATCAGACACAGCAGAAACCACATGTCCCGTTCCTAGGAGTTTGCAGCTCTGTTACACACCATAGATATTTCGTCTCGTTTCCCATATGTAATCTGTTTGGGTGAAGGAGAAGGGACAAAATGGAGGAAGGTGAACAAGATGGCACAGTCCCGATGGCTTCCGGTTTCTTCATCACCAACTTTCCTGCGCCGGGAATGTGCAGGACAACCGACCATGCGCCAGGTGACGTCAATCCAAAGAGATCGAAACTTACCCAGCCACGCCTATGGAGACGCCCCTATCACGCCCTCATCCTGCCCACTGCCCTCCCCCTTCCAGTAACAATGCATAAAAGTCTGCCACCGGCAGGAGCCGCCGTGACTTCTTCGGCCCCTCCTACTTGTGGACCAGAGAACCTCACCCTAGAGCGCCGGCGTGACTTCCCTGGCCCCATACCTGAGGACCACAGAACATTGCCCGAGAGTGTGTGCATATTTGCAATAAAAGGCTGCCACTTTCTTATGTACTTTGGCCTCATGTTTAACTATTTAGCTCTCCCAAATTAAATTAAATTAAATTAAATTAAGACATAATCCACTTAGTCTTATGTGAAAAAATGAGCAGGAAGTTAACATGAGGAACTGAACATAAAAGCTAGTGAGTGAACCAGTAAAAAAAATTGAGGTTTCTATCTGTACATCTTTTGGTCTCTGACAGCTGTTCTTTGCTTATAAAGGTGATGCTCCTCTGGCAACACACCCAGAAGTGACCAGAGACTTCCAAGCCAAGGTGAAACACATGCTTTTTTGATAGGGGAGTGTCCTTTTACCTGTTCCCCAATATTTGGGAAAGATATTTCAAATATGAGTATTTAATTAAGAAATAGAAACACATACTGATGAGTTAGCTGAATGAGCTCCTTGGCTCCAAATACTTAAAGTCCATTTCATAATATAGGGTTAAGAGTTTAGAAACATTTTTCACAGAGTCCCACACTATATTTTTGAATTGAGGCTGCTCTTTGAAGGATGCAATGTAATGGTAGCATTTTGGATTAATAATATTCCATCACCTAGAATAGAGCTTATATATTAAACTGTTCCTATGAGGAAAGATTACTTCGGCATTTAAATTTGCTGCTTCATTTTACCTTTTTTGAAAAAGAACAGAATTTCCTTTAGTTGTGACTTTGGATCTTCCTGCTGGGGTTTTACAAATCTGACAATGGAAGTTCTGGCTCATAACGTCAGAAGGTTTTTACAAGTTATAGGTCAAAGGAAACACACAGAGATGCACATAATGAGAACTTACCCTCAGGTACACTAATGGTACAACTCCCTTCTCCTTTCTCTGCCAAAGTCACGGAATACAAGATTCTGTTCTTAAATACTTTAAACCAAATTGTCTTTTTGGGTAGGCAGAATAAATAGGAGTCAAACAGAAGCACAACAGCCTAACAAAGTTTTGCTGAACTCAATCCATAATCAGTCAGTCTAATCTTGGCTTCAAACTTTTAGGGATATAAATGCTTTAGCAACAATATTTTTCCCAGAAGAAATATAACTTAAACACATATTATAAGGTAAGGAGCTTCATTTTAAATCTCTAGTCATGATCACTGGGGAAGACTTGTCAAAAACCTTTCTTTTTCTTATTAGCAACCACCAGGCAGCAGATAGTGTCAGTTTCTTCAGAGCATTTTTGTAGAACGGGTCACCTTTTTGTGGAAAAGCAAATCACTTCACTTAGAAAGAAGGTTGTGACTGGGCCCAAAATTTTCTATGAAATGTACTTTCTCATTAAAGGAGAAAGACGGCCAGGAGAAGTCTTTACTGATCATTAATGAAAACACATATTAGAAAAACCTAATAAGTCAATTTTGAATCAATAGGGAGTAACTGTAATTTCTCATGTGATTATAAACATTTATATTTGAGGCTACATAAGATTTTGTTTGATAATTTGCTTATTATTTTTTAGATTACAGGCCTATAGACATGACTGTCTGATCTTTTTCCATTTAAGTGTATACATTAGCAGTTAAAAGATGAGAGGCATCGCTGGAGGAGAAGGGGCTCAAAAGACCACAGGGAACAGATCTTGTTAGAATGTGTCAAATATTTCACAGATATTTACTTCAAAAACATATACAGATGACCTATATGATCTAAGACTCTATTTTTTTAATTAAGAATTTTTTTCGGGAACCAATCAATTATGCCATAATTCTAAATGAAGTGACTTGCTTCTCTAAATTCAAATTCAAAATTTACTATTTAGAATCCAAATTAAATTAAGCCCATTATCTTCTCGCTAAAACATCCAGCACTTCAGCAACAAAATACATGTTGAATGAATGTATTTTCTTGTTATAAAGGTTGAGTAGAGTTCAGGGTTTTTATTTTTAATCTTTAAGATATATACCTTATACTGAATTCTGATTACATGAATATTTATACATAATATAAAACATAGGAAGATGTCATTTAAAATTGCTAATATGCTTGCTCCAGTGTTAAGCAAGTCAACCAACTCTCTTGGCCTCAGTTTCTCATATGTAGAACAATCTTCTCTGTTAAAATTATTCTCTGGAAAAATCTGAAATTTCTTGATGTTTTTTCCTATTCAGTCAATAATAAAAGTCTATTTTTTTTCTCATCTTAAAGTAAAAGAATAATCACAAGGGAAAACGTTAATATTAGTGATAAATATGGAGCATGGGTTATTAAAGGCCTTTAATGATTTGACAACAGTTAAAAGCCTTTGGGTTGTGGTTCCATTTTTTTTTCTAATTAAATCAAATTATCAGTCACAGCCAGAAATGGAATGCTGTTGTAATTTTTTTTGAGGGGGGTGAGCAATGGAAAACAAATTTGTGAGAGTTCAATTAATTTCCCTGCCACATAAATTAGGTAAAAGTTACAGTATTATTATTTTTAGGTAAAGAGTCTCTGAATCATGTTTTCGTTTAATAAGAGACAATGTCCAAAATTGATTCAGCGTATACTCTACCTTACAAAACTCCCTAGGGATGCAGTGTATACAAACAATGCCTTTGTCTGAGGAAAAACTGGTTTACAGAAGGCAGAAGACTACCCCAGAAGTAGATGGCTTTCAAAGACACTGCATCAAAGATGGTTGAGTAAATAACTAGCTTTTTTGAAATATTGGAATCTATACAAGAATTTCTACAGAATTACATGTAGGACTATTTTATTAACTTCTTGTGAGAACAAAGAAAATTCTTTGTTTTATACACCCCACAACTTTATTGATATAAAAGGTTACCACTAATTGGAATAAATTCTTACCTTCCCCATTGTAAGTCAGTGCTGTTCAAAATTTCTGATAATGTGGCAAGAGTAGCCTCACTTTCATCTATTAATGTCATCTCTTGTGTGCCTGCAAAATTTGCCAGAACTGATTAGAGAAGATATTAAATGATAATTGGACATTTAGTGCTCGTCAAACAGAAAGTGACAGATGGGGCACTAATTAAATTATAGTTTTGACATTATTCACAATGGTTTATGACTCTTCGGTGATGACCTTCATGCATCTCTTCTCCATATTTTTTTTCCTTTGGTGGGAAGGAAGGATAGGATGTTGATTGGTAGAAACAAAAATCATATTTTAAAAACACTGAGCAAAGCAGAGATGTTTAAAGTATGAAATTTCTAAACTTATCTATTAAGATAAAACACTGATCTGTACTGAAGTGAATAATCATAAAGCAAAAGGAAAATTCACTATGAAACTAATGGAGTGGGAAGAAAATATCTAGGAAATCGTAAAAAATACACAAAGATCAAAACGCAACAAATCTATTTCTAGGAAGGGTAAAGACCTTTATTCTAATTTGAATTAAAAAATATAATCTTGATATCATATATGAGAATGTAGTGCTTTCTGATAATGCCTTTTTGTGTGTTAATTCAAGCTTGTATTACTAGTTACCTCCACCAGCTAAATGAAGAGCCTTGTTAACATGGAAGAGGAGGGGGGAATTAAAAGAAATTATAAGCCACAGTTGCTAAATCAGAACTGCATTTTCCTTTTCAATTGAAAGAAAAAGCATAATGTTGATTACTTTCTAACTTTAGTTTCACTCCAGTGTTTAGTAGTTGTCTAAACAAAAAAAATTTAAAGACTTGGATGCTTAGCTTTAGATTCCCATAGTGAACCCGCTCTGTCTAGTGATTAGCTATAGTCTAAATTTAAAATTAAATCATTTTGTATAATGTCTCTTCCTTGTAATTTTCAAGGTACACTTTCTGCTGACATATGCACTGCTTTAGTTACTATTAATGAGATTTAGGTCTGATGACTCATTAGAACCCACTTCCTCTCCTACCCCTCTCTACAATGAGTAACACAGGAGGGAACATGATTTGTTCTGACTGATGTAAATATATATGAATATATAATTTGTTTAGATTATTCTGCCTAAATATGTAATTTAGACATGATAACCAACTAGCCTATTCAATATAAGGGGTTAAATGGAATGGACACAGTCATGAGATTCCAGTTGTGCCTGGCTATCCCTGGCTACTACTGTGAATTTGGAGAAGTATGTCGCCGTGTTCCTCAATGAAATGCAGATGTAGTCACTTAATACAACTGAACAATAGCATTTAGAAAATTTTCTGGTTAATAGCAGGCTACTCAGGTATTCAAAACTTTTATGATATTTCATGTTTGTTAAATAGTAAAAGTCTAAATACGCAGGCTGCAGATACAGGTGTTAAGGATGTTCGTGTATGTTAATGCCTTTTTTTACCTTTTTTTTTTTTTTTTTTTTTTTTTTGTAGATAGAGTTCTGCTTTATTGCCCAGGTTGGAGTGCAGTGGCACTATCTCAGGTCACTGTAACCTCTGCCTCCCAGGCTCAAGCAATTCTTGTGTCACAGCCTCCTGAGTAGCTGGGATTACAGGACTGTGCCTGGCTAATTTTTGTATTTTTAGTAGAGACAGGGTTTCACCATGTTGTCCAGGCTGGTCTTGAACTTCTGCCCTCAAGTGATCTGCCCACCTCAGCCTCCCAAAGTACTGGGAATACAGGCATGAGCCACCACACCCAACCCGTTACTGCCTTTTTATTAAGCATTATTCTACTGCCATTTCTCTATCTCTTGCTAAATATAAGCAGCATGATGTACTCTGCTCTCCTGTTCTTTTAACTCCATTGAGCTTCTTCTTTTCTTCATTTCTTCTTCCCTTCCCTTCCTTCCTTCTGTCTTTCTCTTTCTTTTCTATTTATTATTGTATACAGTTTTTCTGTCACTTCATGACAGGGATGTTTCTGAGAAATCGATCCTTGGCAATTTCCTTGTTGTGCAAACATCATAGAATGTACTTATATAAAACTGAATGATACAGCCTACAACATAACTAGACTAGGTGGTATAGTTTATTGGTCCTAGACTATAAGCCTGTGCTAAATATTATAGGCAGTTTTTATAAAATGGTAAATATTTGAACATCTAAATAATAAAAAAGAATGCAGTAAAAATATGGTATAAAAAATGGTACATCTCTATAGGGTCCTTACCATAAATGGAGCTTGCAAGACCGGAAATTGTTCCAGGTGAGTGAGGAGTAAATTTGAAATGATAGGACATTGCTGTATACTACAATAGACTTTATAAACACTATATATTTGGCTACACAAAATTTATAAGAAGTATTTTTCTTTCTTCAATAATACATTAGCTTATTGTAGTATTTTTACTTTATATAATTTTTAACTTTTGGACTCTTATAATAACACCTAGCTTAAAACACAAACACACTGGACAGCTGTACAAAAATATTTACTTTCTTTATATTCCTATTCTGTAAACTTTCTCCTATTTTTAAATTTTTACTTTTAAAACCTTTTAATAAGACCCCCAAAATGCAGAAAACAAAAGCAAAAACAGACAAATGGAATTACATTAAACTTAAAAGGTTCCTCACAGTAGAGGAAACAATCAGTACAGTGAAGAGACAACCTATGGTATGGGAGAAAGTATTTGCAAACTATGCATCTTGAAGGAGTTAATACCTAAAATATATAAGAAACTCAAGCAACTGAATTGCAAAAAAAGAAAAAAAAAATTCAATTAACAAATGACCAAAAGACCTGAACAGATACTTCCGAAAGAAGACATAAAAATAGTCAACAGATACATAAAAAATCTTCAACATTACTAATTATTAGGAAAATGCAAATCAAAACTACAATGAGATATCACCTCACCCTATTTAGAATGGCTATTATCAAAAAGACAAAAAATAAATGCTGACAGGATGTGGAAAAAGATCTCTTATGCACTGTTGGTGGGAATGTAAATTAGCACAGTCATTACGGAAAACAGTGTGGAAGTTCCTCAAAAAATTAAAAATAGAGCTACCATATGATCCAACAGTTTCATTTCTGAGTATATGTCCTAAGGAAATGAAATCAGTATGTTAAGGAAATATCTACACTCTTATGTTTTTTATTGCAGCACCATTTCATCCACAATAGCCAAGATATGGAATCAACTTAAATGCCCATGTACAGATGAGTGGGTAAGGAAAATGTGGTGTGCACACACACATACACACACACACACAAATGGAATACTGTTCAGCCTTAAAACAGAATGAATCTCCTTTATTCGTGGCAACATGAATGAATCTGAAGGACATTATGTAAAGTGAAATAAGCCAGGCACAGAAAGACTAACAATGAGTGTTCTCACTCATATAGGAAACTAATTGATTTCATAGAAACAGGGAGTAGGATGATGATTAACAGAGGCAGGTGTGGTGTGGGGAGCAAGGAATGAGAGAGATTGGTCAATGAGTAAAACATTACATTAGACAGGAAAGATAAATTCTGCTGTTCTATTTCAGAGTAAAGTGAAAATAACAGTGTTGTGTATATTTCAAGATAGCTCCAAGAAAAGATTTTGAGTGTTGTCACTAGAAAGAAATAATAAATGTTTAAAGTGATGGGCATGGTAATTACACTGATTTGATCTCATGCAAAGTACACATGCACTGAAATGTCACACCGTACTCCTGATATAGCTTGAATGATTTTCCTCTCCAAATTTCATGTTGAAATGCAATCCCCACTCTTGAAGATGGCATCTGGTGGGAGGGGTTTGGGTCATGAAGATGGATCCCTCATCTCAATGGGTTGGTGCTGTCCTCATGATATGGATTGAATTCTCACTAGATCTCGTAATTTAAAGTGTGTGGCACCTACTCCTTTGTTATTTGGCTCCCACTCTTGCCATGTGATGTGCCTGCTCCCATTTCACCTTCCACCATGAGTAAAAGCTTCCTGAAGCCTCCCCGGAAGCCATGCATGCTTCCTGTACAGCCTGCAGAACTGTGAGCCAATTAAATATCTTTTCTTTAAAGTTACTCAGTCTCAGGTATTTCTTTGTAGTTAGCCAAATGGACAAATACAACTCCATAACTAAGTATATTATGTGCCAATTCTAAATTTAAATATTAATAATTTTTGATAAAAACTAAGACACAAAAACACTCATTAGTTTACACAAAGTCAGGGTCATCAATATCTCTGTCATCCACATCTATATCTTGTCCCACAGAAAGGTCTTCAAGGGCAATAACATGCATGGAGCTGTCATTTCCTGTGATAACAATGTCTTCTGGAATACCTCCTGAAGGACTTGCCTGAGGCTGTTTTACAGTAAGCTTTTTAAAAACATAAGTAGAAGTACACTCTAACAATAAATAGTATAGTAAATACATAAACCAGTAACATAGATGTTTATGTTTTCATATCAAATATTGTGTACTGTATATAATTGTATATGCTATACTTTTACAGAGCTGACCATGCAGTAGTTTTGTTCACACCAGCAACATCACGTGAGGAAAATGTTGTGCTATGACATTATATTACAATGACTATGATGTCATTAGACAAAAGGAATATTTCAGCTTAATTGCAATTTTATGCGACCACCATTATATAGGTGGTCTATTGACTAAAAACATCATTATGCCACATATAACCATACATTTAAGATATACAGAATGTTTATATATATATATATGTATATATAGAAATACATGGCGAGGTGACTACTACAGTTGAGTAAATTAACATATCCATTGTCTCAGTTACCATTTATGTGAGTATGTGCCCATAAATGTGCATACACTCATCTCTTACCACATAAGATCACCTAAAATCTACTTTCTTAGCAAATTTCTGTACATAATGCAGTATTATTAACTAGAGTCATCATGTGGTACATTGGATCTATAAACTTATTTATTCTAGATAACTGTATCTCTTTACCATTTTATCTATATCTTCTGATTTCCCCTCCCTCCCACTCCTGACAATCATCTTTCTATTCCTTGTTTTTATATAGTTGATTTATT